CATCAACATTATCCTCACCATCATCATCATCATCATCATCATCATCAGCATCATCATCAACAACCTCATCATCATCATCATCATCATCGTCATCATCATCATCATCGTCATCATCGTCATCATCATCACCATCACCATCATCATCAACTCACCGTTACCAGTACCATCACCATCAATATCATCATCATTATCATCAGCATCAGCATCAGCATCAGCATCACCATCACCATCACCATCACCATCACCATCATCATCATGATCATGATCATGATCATCATCATCATCATCCCATTACCGTTCCCAGTACCATCACCATCAAAATCATCATCAGCGTCAGCATCGTCATCAGCCGACTCAGTCATCACATCTCCAAGCACCCAAGCCCCTTAATCCTGATCCTCAACCCCGTGCTTCGAATGGTTAGGGCTTAGGGTGTAGGGTTTAGGGTTTAGGGTTTAGGGTTTCGGCTGTAGGGTTGCGAGGCGCCGGGCGCTTCTTGGGTCTTTGAGCCTCTACACGCTGGGCCTGCCAGATGCTCCGGGCGAGGCCCGTGCTTCCAATGGCCAAGTTTGCAGACGAGCTTCGAATGGTTTAGGGTTTATGGTTTAGGGTTTAGGGTTTAGGGTCCTAAACTCTAAACCCTAAGTCGAAAGCCCTAAACCTTGAGACCGGTGACCCCAAGTTCAAAACTCGCAGCTCTAAGCCCTACAGCCACCCCCCTGGAAGCCCTAACCACAAAACCCCCAAACCCCCCAGTCTCAGACCCTGAATCCGCTTTGCGCATCCCGGACGACTCCTATTCTGGCCCTAAACCTTATCACACCAAGCCCTAAAACCAGCGAGTTAGGGTTTAGGGCCTAGTACCAATAGCTCGAAGCCAAGCCTTAAACCCCAAAGCCCTAAAACTCCTAAACCCTATAGACTCTAAGTAACCCTAAACCCTAAACCCTAAACCCTAGACCCTAAACCCTAAACCCTATAAACCCTAAACCCTAGACCCTAAACGTACCCTGGAAGAGGCCGAGGATGACTGGACCCGGGCATCGGAGGCCTGGGCGTCAGAGCTCTCGGAACTTCGGGAGTTTGGAGGTTTTGAGGGTTTAGGGGTTTAGGGTTTAGGGTTTAGGGTTTAGGGGGTTCCTTTAAGGGTTCCTTAAAGGGCCTCCTTAAAGGGAGTTTGGGGGGTTTCTGAGCTTCCCGGCAAGGGCTTAGGACATTTGAGTTTAGGGTTTAGGGTTTAGGGTTTAGGACATTTGAGTTTAGGGTTTAGGGTTCAGGACATTTGAGTTTAGGGTTTAGGGTTTAGGGTTTAGGGTTTAGGACATTTGAGTTTAGGGTTTAGGGTTTAGGGTTTAGGACATTTGAGTTGCAGCCTTGGGGTTAAGGGTTTACGGAATTCGAGTCCAGCATTGGGTTTGGGGGTCTTCGATTTCGGGGTTTCGGCTTAGCGGGTTTAAGGTTTAGGGTGTAGGGTTCAGGATGTGCCAACGAGTTCATGGATCTCAGTTGCTCCTACACTTGTGCGGAAGAACCCCTAAGCCTGAACCTTAAACCCTTAACCCAAAGTGCTGTAGTAGTGCTGTAGTAATACTGTAGTAGTGCTGTAGTAGTACTGTGGTAGTACTGTAGTAGTACTGTATAAAGGAAAACCCTTGCAAAAGGAGCTTTGAAACACCAACAAGCCCTTGACCCACACAACTCCAGGCGATCCCTAGACCCTAACCCCAAACCCTAAACTCAACCCTAAATCCCAAACCCTAAAACCCTAAACCTTAAAGTCCTAAAGCTCCAAAACCCTACACCCCAAACGCTAACCCTAACCCGAAACCTTAAACCCTAAAGCCTAAATCCCTAAACCCTAAACTCCTTAAGCTCCAAACCCCTAATCCCTCAACGCTAAACCCGAACCCGAAACCTCAAGCCTTCAACCCCCCAGAGAGCCCAATACCCCTTAATCAAGCAATATACCTTAAACTATAAGGGGCTTTATATTATGATTTAAGGTATATTCCTTAATTAAGGGGTATTGGGCTCTCTGGGCCAGCCCCAAACCCGAAGCGCTCCAGGCTCACCGCACGGCCCGGCGTAAGGGGCCTCAGCGCGATCGGACTCCGGGACTCAAGGACGTATGCAAGGAAATCAGATTAAGGATTTAGGGTTCAGGGTTTAGGGTTTAGGATTTAGGGGTTTAGGGTTTAGGGTTTAGGGGTTTAGGGGTTTAGGGTTTAGGGGTTTAGGGTACTAAAAACCCTAAATCCAAGAATCTAAGCCCCCAGTTCCTTGAGCCTTGAGCCCTCAACGCATCTCTTAACAGCCTGAGCCGCAACATCGGGTCAAAACAAACACCCGTAGTCTTCCTTATAATCTGATCCCAGTAGATTTTCTCTATAAGGTATCTTGTTCTTATTATGAGGCCTCTATACTAGCACATTTTGCCTCCACGTCTCCGAACTCCACGAAGGTCTTTCTTTGATGCTGCTGAAGGGAGGGAGCAATCGCGAAGAGGCCGCGTCGGGGATGGGCGAAAAACCCTAGAGTCTTGGAGACCCAAAGCCCTTAACCCTCTCAGCCCTAAAGCCTAAACCCGATCAAGCATCCGACGCCCCCTAACTCTAAACCCTAAACCACGTGGCCGTCGAGCTGTGCTACAAGTAGTGTGCAAGCCTCGTATGAGGCTCGACCTGACGAAAAAGCCACTGCAGACTAAAGAAAACCCTAAACCCTACAGCCTAAATCCTAAACCCTGACTCTACGTTTCTGAACTCGACATCGGGGAAACATTGAAGTCTCCAAAACCCGAGACTTAAAGCTGTGCCCCACATGCCAAAAGCCCAGAAAATCCTCGGTTTAGGGTTCAGGGTGTTTAGGGTTTAGGCGTCTAGGGTCTAGGGTTTAGGGAGGATTTAGGCTGCAGGGCTTAGGGAGGGTTTAGGGTGCTGAGTGCGCCTCTGCGCCAAGCTCTAGCAGCTGACCTCATAGTCACCGAACCCTAAACCCTAAACCCTAAACCCTAGCAGCGAATCTCATAGTCACCGTACCCTAAGCCCTAAACCCTAGCAGCGCTAACCTCAGAGTCACCGAACCCAAAACCCTAAGCCCTAAGCCCTAAACCCTAAACCCTAGCAGCTAACCTCATAGTCACGGAATGCTTGATAGAAGCCAATGCCGACGATCCCAAACACCGTTTCCGGATGTCGGGTTAGGGTTTAGAGTTTAGGGCCTTAGGGCTTCGGGTTGCATGGTTTAGGGCGCAAGTGTCTGCATGTTCCGGAAGTCGAAAACATCGCCTAAGCAAACTTGGATCAGGCGGATAGCTTTCTGCGCCTAGCTGTTCGGAGAGGAGAGTACCTGGAGGTCTGTACCTCATCGTGCGTTCGGGTTTGGGGCGTTTCGAGCAGAAAGAGCTCGGAGGTTTCAGCTTTCAGGGGGTTTAGAGCTCGTGGTTTTGGTTTGTTTGCCACCCTGAACCCAGCACCCGAAACCCCGAACCCCAAAATCCTAAGCCCGAATACCTGGACCTAGAATCCTAAACCTTGAGCTCCTAACCATAACACCCTCAATCCTGGCTTCCTAGACCCTCAATCCCTAAACCCCTCAACC